GAAATAACCATAAAAATATTATTTTCGAAAAAACACAACCATAAAGCGGTTATCTCTGAGATGCAACCTTTGGAAATAATTAGAAAGCAATTGATTCAAAAAGACGCAACCCTTGGAAATATCCATAAAACAAGTTTTTCTTAAAGAACACAATCTTAAATAACCATAAAGCGGTTATATGAAAAGACAACTTTTGAAAAAGAGGTTATATAAAAAAAAAAACTCTTAGAAATAATTATAAAGCGGTTATATTGAATAAACGCAATCTTTCGAAATAACCAATAAACGATTTTTTCCAAAAAGACACAATTTTTGGAAATAACTATAAAGCGGTTATTTTCGAAAGAACACAACCATAAAGTGGTTATCTATATAATAGATGCAACCTTTGAAAATAACCATTATACGGTTATATCGAAAAAAGTAACTCTTAAAAAACGGTTATATAAAAAAGACGCAACCCTTGGAAATAACCATTAAACAGTTATTTCCGATAAGACACAACTTTAAATAACCATAAAGCGGTTATATCGAAAATGAAACTCTTGTAAAATCGGTTATATGGTAAAAACGCAACCCTTAGCAAAAAAACGTTTTTCCCATCCTTACTCATTTCACGAATTGAAACCATAACTATTCGTCTAACCAATAGAATAATTCATGGATTTTTGTGCCATTTAAATTGATTTATTTTTAATTTTAGAATTTTTAAATCGTCCAATGCATATAAAAAATATAGTTGAAAACCAAATTTTTTGTGGGTGCTTCTATTTTGTATTAATGTTAATGCGGCTTCAATATTTCGATGCATACAACCCGTAAAAAACTTCTTTCAAATATAAAGAATCAATATTTTCGTAGAGAATTGTTAGATTTTATTAGTTTTTTTTACATGTAAAATTTGCCATAAAATCTACATTGTCTAAAAAATCCAAAATTCTTTACACAAATCCAAAATTTTTGGACCTTTTACAATAGTAAAAAGTTTAATACTATTAAATAATTTAAAAATAATCGAATGACTTTTTTTTATCTTTGCTATGTGTTAAGTTAATTATAATAAGTAGTAGGCATGATTAACAAAATATTCAACGAGATAAAAAGTGAAGAGATATACTCCCTCCATTTCAAAATATAAATTATTTTAGTTAAAGTCACGAATATTAAGAAACTACTTTTCTTTAAAA